TCCGGCCCTCTCAATTCCTGGCAAATAGATAAGGAAGAAATGGAGGTAGTGACAGATTTTATCTTCCTGGGCTCCAAGATCACCACAGATGGGGACTGCAACCAAGAAATTAAAAGACGCTTGCTCTTGGGAAAGAAAGCTATGGCAAATCTAGACAGCATACTAAAAAGCAGAGACATCAGCCTGCCAACAAAAGTATAGTCAAGGCCATGGTTTTCCCAGTTGCAATGTACAGCTGTGAAAGTTGGACCATAAGAAAGGCTGAGCGCAAAAGAATTGAGGCCTTTGAACTATGGTGCTGGAGAAGACTCCTGAGAGTCCCCTGGACTGCAAGATCATCAAACCGGTCAATCCTAGAGGAGATCAACCGATTGCTCTTTAGAAGGCCAGATCCTGAAGTTGAAACTCAAGTACTTTGGCCACTTAATGAGAAGGAAGGACTCACTGGAGAAGACCCTAATGCTGGGAAAGATTGAGGGCAATAGAAGAAGAGGACGACGGAGAATGAGGTGGCTGGATGGAGTCACTAAAGCAGTAGGCGTGAGCTTAAACGGACTCCAGAAGATGGTAGAGGACAGGAAGGCCTGGAGGAACGTTGTCCATGGGGTTGCAATGGTGTCAGACACGACTTTGCAACTAACAACAACAAATCAGACTTGGTAAATGTGTCATAAGGGGGCCTGAATGGGCTACTCCAAAATACTGATGTAGTGGAAAACTCTAATCATAAAATACCCATGTAGCAAAAGTTAGTGAGGATACATCTTGTCCTTCTTAGTCTCCTGAGAAATACCCTCTATCGAATTATCTTACTTTGTGGTTGTTTTCTACAGCCTTCCACTGAAAGAAGTACAGATTTCATTTTTTAAAAAATACCAGTGGGGGTTGTATAGGATTCAGAAGAAGACTTAAGCTATTTGATATGTTTTGAAAAAATAAAAAGTTGTTGAAGAAAGTAATGCCCAGACCATCTCTCTTTGCACACCTAGGACTTCCTCAGTTGTCTTTTCAATAAAAAGAATGTGCAACCACTTCAATAGCAGATGGTGGAAGGCAGAATCAGTAAGAAAACATTAAAAAAATTGCAGCATATCATGTCCAGTGCAGTGGAAACCATTCTTACAATAAAGTAAAATATAGGTAGTCCTCAACTTAAGACAATTCAGCCCAAAATTTCTGTTGTTAATTGAGACATTTTTAAGTTTGGCCACATTTTACAACCTTTCTTGCCACAGTTGTTGAGTGAATCACTGCAATTGATAAATTAGTGACCCAGTTGTTAAGTGAATTTGGCTTCCCCATTGACTTTGCTTGTCAGAAAGTAACAAAAGGTGATCACATGACCTTGGGAAATGGTCATAAATATGAGCCAATTGCCAAGCATCTAAATTTTGATCACAAGATCATGGGGATGCTGCAAAAATCGTAACTGTGAAAAAACGGTCACAAGTCACATTTTTCAGAGGTGTTGTAACTTTCAATGGTCACTAAATGAACTGTTGTAAGTGGAGGACTACCTGTAAAGTACCATTATCTTGTCCTTCATTTCTGCAGTCTTGGACCAATCTTGATAATTTCACTTTACCTCTCTCTTCACAGGCCTCTATACCAGTGTTCTCAAATCGTCCATCATATGGTCAATCATATGATCGTCAAATCAAGTCCATCATATGGCATTCTGCAGCCTCCTCACTTTCACTGTCAAACAGCTGGTTAGATAGGGGCCCACTTACCTAAGTATCTTAAGTATGGTTTACTGAACTGTAGAAGGGATTACCCATAAAGCAACTTAAACATTAAAATGAAATTTCATTGGACCGGAATGGTCAAGTGCATAGTTTAAAAGTCCCTGGTTCAAAGCTTATCTTAGTTGAGAATGTATTACCTAGCTTTTGATAAGCCAAATACTCCAAGCTAGTATCCACCATAACACAAAATTAATACCATTCTAGATTTTGATGCTGCAGTATAGCTACTGCAATAACATATATGAAGAGTTTTCCTTATTCCATTTTATGTTCTTTTTGTTCCAACTCAGTTTAAATCCATGCTTCCACCTTTTAGTCTAAAAACTACAGTATTATTTGGATTCACCACTAGATGTCCCCAACAAACAATTCTTATTAAAACAAAATTGTGAATATCTTCTGATCAGTTTGGCAGTTGTCTATTAAACTAATTATTATATAAAATTAAAGCCATACAGGATAATTTGGTAGTAGTGATAATATACGAAAAATCCTGGTCCCAGGTATCTTCATGGTCCAATATTGTGAATAAATATATATGGTTGTATATACAAGCCAAATGTAATTTAACAGCAATAATATAATAAATGGCTGGAAATGACTGTGTATTTAAATCAATCAACTGTTAATATGAAACAGAGGAATATATTTTTTGTCTAGCTTTGAAAGTCTGGAGAATTTTTTTTATCATGTCACGAGGACTGTACTACTAAATATATCTAAAGCTCAATTTTATTAGTTTCACAATGAAATTCTTTATGTGACTTGGTGAAAATGTTTGGGTGGATAAATGATAATACAGTACATTTTTTATTAAAAGAAAATCTGATGATTACTTTTCAATGCAAATGCACATTGATAAGAAACAAGATGGCTGAAATTGTGATTGCATCTATGCAGGAAATTTTGCCAATATTACAGAAGCAATTTGCCTTTTACCAGGATGTTGTTGGTGTTTTTCAATTTTCCAGTCTAAACATTTAACCTTTTCTGGGGGTTCCATTACAACAGGGTTTCCCAAACCTTGGCAACTTTAAAACTTGGGGACTTTAACTTCCAGAATTCTCCAGCCAGCCATGCTGGCTTTAGAATTTTGTAAGTTGAACTTCAGATGTCTTAAAAAGTTTCCAAGGTTAGGAAAACCAGCATTATAACATTTAAAAAACTGTGCAAATGGGGGGGGGGCAAAAAAGTCTTCCAGTTTCCCAGGCATTCCAACCTAGTTAAAATGTGTTTCCTCAATGGAATCACAATTTCTGACAATTATAACAGATTCATGCAAACTATAAGCAGAGACTTAACAATACTCAAATTCTGCCTGTATTATGGAAGGACTGGAATTGATTAGCTATGAGTATAATCATAAAAACATTTTCCTGAAGCCGATGAAGTTTTCTGTTCAGAACAGAGGTAAGCATGCTAGGTCAGTGGTGGCGAACCTGTGGGCACGTGCACCGTCGCCCCAGTCTTAGGCCTTCAGCTGGGTTTTATAAAACCTTTTCACTTTAGGCCTCCACCACCATGTACAAAAAAAAAAAAGGTTCAATCAATCAATTTCAACTTCTCACGGAAAAAAAATCTTGCAGTTGGAATTGATTGATTGAACTTTTTAGTCCAACCCAGTCTGCCGTTACCACTGCAGCCACGCCCACCCAATGGGCCACACCCACCCAATGGGCCACGCCCAGCCAGCACCCTACGATGCATAAGTAGGTATTGAGTTGGAGTTTGGGCACTTGGTCTCTAAAAGGTTCGCCACCTCTGTGCTAGGTCCTCTGGTTATTTTACACTACCACTTTCATTATCCTAGAGATAATGAACCATGCTTGTCAAATGCATCAAGTTAACTGTTAGACTATCCTAGCTCAGTCAATTCAAATAGTAATAAAATATGTTTTAAAAGTTGGAGATTTACATTGATAACAACTCTGGATTTTGATCAATGCAAACATGTCTAATTTTAGAAGCTACTATTCAACACTCAGGTTTATAACAAATATAAAAAATATAATCCTTTTAATACCAAGGGGGGAGAATAAGTTCTTGCATAAAAGAAAGATAGAATACCTATGTAGTTTTTCTCTGTAAATATAATGCAAGCCATTCTTATGAAAAGGCAAAAAAAAATATTAGGCATAGGTTAATAAATTTGAATAAGCTGTTTTGTTTATCTTGATAGTGCAAATTTTTGAACTCTGTATTTTGCATGCTATGATTTATGATTCAGCAAACCACGCCACGATGATGTACTTAACACATTGTGTAAATTCTTATAAATCGTCATTTTTGTTCATTTCCTGCTAGAAAGTAATGTAGACCAGATTAGGGGTAAACCAGCGTGTTGAATTATTCGTAGAGATCTCATCTCTCATTAGGTTCAATTTTTATGAAAACTGAATGGGCCCCGCTCCGATCCGATCAACGGAGAGCAAGCAGTCCGCTGTGCCTGAAAACGTTGCTGAATTCGCTTGTCGGACGTTGCAAGAGAAGGCGAAACAAGTTTGCCTAATACCCGTTTTCTCCAAATTAAAAAAAAAAAAAAAAGCAAGCTGCGCAAAACGTGTCTATCAAAATACGCCACATTTACACCCAATGGTTGAAAAGGAAGTTCTAAGCACTGGGTAACTAAGACCGCCCCGTGGAGCTCTTTTCTAAATAGATGTCACCTACCCAACTCGGCGAAAGATCACACTGAGCCGCCCTACCGTTGAAGGAAGAGGAAGCCCGGCCCGAAAGCTTTGGTTATCTTGCGCTTCCCTTCCAGGAAGCCTCTAAACGGCGGGCCGACCTCTCTCCGGCCACGCACGTGCGCTGCGGCTGGCGGAGGGCATGTGCGCCGGGCTCACCAGGCTGGGGACTGGGCGGGCTCAGTAGGGCGGTGCTGCCCTCCGCCGGGGAGGATGAGTTATACAACGGCTCGGAGTTGCATAAGCGCCCGAGCCCAGAAATAGTCGCGGTGGCCTGCTCGGGTGGCTCCAGGCAGGGAGCGCGCGCCGTCCGATTCTCCTCCCCCTGACCCCACTGCCGTCTCCACCACCGGGGACAGCCCGAAGCAGGGCTGGGGGCGCTCCTGAGTGATCCGGCCCTCTAGCGCGAGGGTCCGAGGCCGGGCTGGGCCGTGGGCGGAGGCGATGGAAGGCTACGCTGGGACGATTCCCCGCGCCGCCTGCTTTCGCGGAGCCTGAGTTCGACCATGGAGCCATAGCAGCCGCAACCCCCCACTGCTGCGGCCGCCGCCACAGCCGCCACACCCACTTGGCTTCTTGGCGGCGATAATGGAGCTGGGGCCGGCCACCGGGCAGCCGGCGCAACAGTATGCCCACCATCCCCAGGCCCTCTCGGGCGGCGGTCCCTGCCCGGAGATGCTGCAAGTGGCCGAGGAGGCTTTCCGAGGCGGACAGTTCGCGCTGGCGGCCGAAATCCTGAGCTCGCAGCTGGCCGAGCTGCCGCAGCCCGAGCGGGGCCTCTGCCTCCGTCAAGGGGACGCGCTGGCCCGCGCGGGGCGCATGGCCGAAGCGTTGGACTCGTACAGCGTCGCCGCTAGATTGGCCCGCTTGCGGCCCGAGGAGTTACGCGAGCTGACCGAGAGTTTTGCTCTTCTCGTCCGCGACAAGGAACTGCGGCTGCCTCCCTGGCAGGGCCCTGGGAGCGGCAGCGGGGGCACCCCGGAGGCGGCTGACCCGCTGGGGGACCCCGCTTGCTGCCGCCCTCCGGAGGCGCTATGCTGCCCTTCGTGCCTGCGTCTCCTCCACGAGCCGGTGACTCTGCACTGCGGGCACACCCACTGCAAGCGGTGCGCCCGGAGCGACGGCGGGCAGTGTGTCCGCTGCCCGCTCCGGCGTCCCATCCCCGCCTGTGCCTCTTCCGCGGCCTCCAGCACGGCCGGGCAATCCCCCGCCGACCTCCGCGTCAACGTGGTGCTGGGCAGCTTGCTAGAAAAATGGTTCCCGGCCGAGAACAGAGCGCGCCGGCTGTGCGCCGAAGGGGATGCCTTGCTGGAGAAGCAAGATCTGGCGGCCGCTTTGGAGAAGTACAACCAGGCCCTTGAACTCGGTGAGTGCCCGTTCGCCTCTCCCCCATTCATATCATACTCGTCTTGCTGATTTCCCTCGGTCGCCGGTATCAAGCCAATTTTAGAAAAGATTAGCGCGACATTTAAACCTCAGTCCTGTAACAGTAATAAGCCGACTTTTTTGGTTCACAAAGAACGGAAGGGGTGGTGGTGAAAAAATAGGCCGACTTGTATTATTGTTTGCTCTTAGTTAGGAAACAGGTTAGTGGGGGAGGAAACCTGTGGGCTGTAATCAGTCTCCCAGAGTGAGTTAATATAACTTCTTAGGCGATAACCATATCTTGGCACATGCCACACTTGAAGAGTGTTAACAAAGTTGTTCTATTTTTTTATTTGAGAATCCGTAGTTTGATGTTGTGTTTCAGACATAATATGGTTCTTAGAAGTATTCTATACTTTTGACTATTCTGTGCACCTCTCTCTCTGTTAACTGCTGCAACCTAATAGAAAACCCAAACTTAGTTTAGATCACTTTTCCTGCAATACAGGCTTGTGTGATGAATTTTTAGAAAAGGAAAAGCATCAGATAAATATGTTTGGAATGCAGTCCTGTTTAGAAGTGTGACACAGATCTGAAAATGTAACATGAGAAGTTGATTCATTACATCACATTTCAGAATTCAATGATATTGGTAGTATTGTTAAAAATTTGAATAGGAGAAGGGGTGATTGTGATTTTTTTAATTATATTTGCTGAATATCTGAAGAGCCAGCATAAACTGATTTGCATTCTTCCACATACATCATAGAAACAGCCAAAGAGTTTCCTACTTATGCAAACAACTCTCTTTAGTCTGACAATTGCAATTGTAGAATGACTCCTTGTTAATAGTGTAAGAAATGTACTACTCCAAAACTGACATGAACTTGTGTGATATTTACATTGAAATATTTTTGTAAGTTGTTACATTTCTTGGTGTAAGTGGCAGCTAGATATTCTGGGTCTGATACGTGAATTAGATGTGAGTTAGTAAGAAAGAATTCTAGTTGCGATTTGTCTATAATATAAAACGTTAAAACAATGAAACAGCACTGTGGGAAAGTTAGTATATTGGAAATGGGAATGACGTAGTACACCTGAAACAGCACTTCTTGTGCACTCTCTTTTCATATTTTTTTTTTACCTAACATCTTTCTCCTGCCAACTAATAATAGCCAATCTGATTTTCATTATCTGTGTTTCCATTAGTCATAGAAGTAGCTGGAAATGAGTGCCACAAGTATGGGTATCAGGGAGGGGGAGGAATTATGAAACATGCACAATGATATCATCACATAAGTGCCACAACTTACACACACGCATCAAATATTGAGTGCAAGGATGTAAGCATGGCATATGTATTATGATATCATTGTAATGTACTGTGTTATCATTTTACCACCACTTCAATTTGCTGCAGATGCTGCTGAGCCCCCTTTCTTTGGGGCAGAATTCCTAGAACAGCATTCTGTCACAGATATCCTCCAAATACATTGCACACATCACTAGACAAATGATCATGCTAATGAAGATCATGGGAATTACAGTCAAAAATACCTGGGGACCAGCAGGTGTGGAATACCTGCTTTAAAGTGTGTGTGTCCCTGAGTTAAGATGTAACTTCATTGCCTTTCCTCTTAATTCAGACTAAAACATCTAAGAATTTCCTCAACTTTCTTACAATTCGGTTGCAACAGAATTTGTCAACATTTTTATTATATGGAACAGGCTAGTATATTTAAATACAAATTCAGTTCAGATAACTTAAGACTTGAAACAATGAGTATAGAATTGCAGCTGACAAAAATCAAATAATTTTCACCATTTTCACCATTGCAACACAATAGGAAAAAAAAGTGTGATATAGTCTATACTGCAAAATACAGACATTTTGAATATTTTGGTCTTGAATGCTGCTTATGAGATTTGATGTAAGCTTCTTATTCAATCATCTAGTCCACAGGTCGGCAACCTGCGGCTCCGGAGCCGCATGCGGCTCTTTGAGCCTTCCCCTGTGGCTCCCAGCCTCCTCTGCCTTTGCAGAGAGAGAGAGAGAGAGACAGAGAGAGGCAATTGCACTTCCTTGCTTCTCTCTCTCTCTCTCTCTCAATCTGTGTATGTGTGCTTGTGTTTTTTTTGTATGTGTGTATGTGTAAAAGAGAGTGCACTCACAGTGTTCTCCGAGGAGCTGAATAGCTTACTGGGCGGAGCTCCTCCCTTTCCTGCGTCTCTGCAGGAAGCAGGAAGCAAGAAGGGTAGGAGAGAGCTAGCTAGCCCAGCTAGGCTGACTCAGGAATTCTGGGAGTTGAAGTCCATGAGTCATAAAAGAGACGAGGTTGCTTGCCCCTGAGCTTGTTGGACAACAGCTTGAAGCTTGCCAGGTGAGCAGCAGATGGGGGGGGGAGAAAGAGAGAGAGAGAGAGAAAGAGAGAGAGGGAGGGAGGGAGGGAGAGAGAGAGAGAGAGGAAAGAGAGAGAGAAAGAAAGAGAGTGGGGGAAGAGAAGTGGCAGACCAAGGGCAGATAGAGGGGGAGGGAGAGAGAGACACAGAGAGAGAGAGAGATCCTTTTGACATCTAAAATGAAGATAACACTGCATATATCCTTTTTTTAACCTGTGTGTGTATGTAATTTTATTCTCTTAAAGCATTCTCTTGGTGATCATTGTTTTAATAGTATGGATATTCCCAAGAGTCATATTTTTACTTTATTTTTAATGTATGTGTGTGTGTGTATGTATGTATGTATGTATGTGTGTGTGTGTATATATATATATATATATATATATATATATATATATATATATATATATATATATAGAGAGAGAGAGAGAGAGAGAGAGAGAGAGAGAGAAATGTCCATACACACACATACACACACACCCCTATAATAAAGGTAAAAAAGGATATAGGCAGTGTTATCTTCATTTTAGATATCAAAAGGGTTTTGCGGCTCCTGGTGTTTTGTTTTTGGTGGGAAACGGGTCCAAGTGGCTCTTTGAGTGTTTTGGGTTGCCTACCCCTGATCTAGTCACTAAATTTTACAGGTCAATCTAACCTTTGAAATGCAAGCAGAGAAAAACACTATTAGTTTTCTGACATGTTGTTTTAACTGAGCTCTTCCTGGCTAACTTAATAGACTAGGGAAGAGTCTTATATAGAAGGAGGCATGCTTGTTTTTTCTGTCTGCTGTTTTTGTTCTTCCCAGTAGACAGAAATGTTAATGTATTAGCTACTTTAATTGAACTGTTATTTTCCATTAGTTTCCAAATAGTTGTATCATTGTAGAACACATGTGCATTTTGGAAAACTAAATGTTTCATGACTTATGTTGTTCACCCCAAGAAAAGTTTAGATCTCTGTAAGTTTAGATCTCTGTAATATGAACATCAAAATTATCTTTGTAAATTTAATAGGCAAATAGTTTAATTGTTTTATAGGAATTTTCCCTCTGGCATTGCTAATAAAAAGCTTTTTCACAGTCATATTGGAAAAGCATTTAGAACAGGCAAGGTCAAACTTGTGACATCACGCGACGTATCGGGACTTCTTCCCCATTGCCGGCAATGACATGAGTGCGGTTTTAGCGTGACACATCTGGCCTGCAGGCCAGCAGTTTGACATGCCTCATTTAGAACAATGTTAGATTTTTTCAGTTTTGTAATTTGATAAGAAATATATGGATAAAGTTTTGGGGAAAAACATGATTAAAATGCTACAACCTGTGAAATTATCTTATCTCCTCCCTTTTTCCAAATACACAGTGAGGGTGCCCCTTTTTGATGAATGATTCTTATATTCATCTTCAAAATCATAAACACAGGTTAGGATGATTTTATGACGAACATAGGTCATTCTTAAATTTAAATGCTATTTTGGCAAAACTCTGATATGCATGCAATTACCAATGAACACTTTTAAAAGTGAAGTGTTAGGCGAACATAAATATAATTGTGAAAAAAACATTCATTTGATTTCAGTGGTTTTTTATCTTACCTGCAAAAAGTATGGATTTTGAACCATTTTTAGTGATTAGATGCTTGTGATATAAGAAAGACGAAGTTTCCAAAAAGTTGTTGTCAAAATGTTAGAGCCAAGTTGCAGCTGTGCTCAGCCAGATGTGAAGACAGACCTAATTCATTGATTTGTTTTTCTCATCCTAGTATTCCTAACATCTATTTCCAGATATGGCTATGCAGGATTAGAGAATGTATACCAAACATGGCCATCCCAGAAACTTCATAAGTTCTTCTAGAAGACACACATGCTTCCTGTACCAGGAGAGTGCTGTAAAGTTTTGCCACTGATTGTCCAGGATAGTTCTCTCAAGCTAAGGAGAGCTTTGATTGTATTGGGGTAGCTGTCATCTTGACTTTTTTTTACCATATTTTGCAAACACTCCAGTCTACAACTCCACAGTACTGTAGAATTGGGTGATAGGTATTTATCTTTGTCATTGCCTTTATATTTCAGATCATCGTCTTTCTTGTAATCATGTCATGTTGCCTCCAGATCCCCTCCAGTTGGGACTTTACCAGGCCTTGCTGACACAGTTGCTGGTGCCAAAGATATACATTGCTGTTGTTACTTAGGATGTAGCCATAGCATCTTTTCTTAAAAATAAAATGGTTGGGATTATAATGTGTTGGTGGGATTTCCCCCCCCCCTTCTTAATATGTCTTTATGTTTAGATTGAAGACTGCTCAGATCCTTCAGTGGAATTTTCTCTTTATTTATATATGTGGGACAGAGAAAGGTATCGGGGATCAGGTTGGATGCCCATACTTCATTTTGAATTAAAGAAAAGCACAGATGCAGCTCCCTGTTTCATGGTGAAGTAGTGATTTGTAGATTCTCCCTCCCTCAATTTTAGGCTATCAGGTATCTGATATAAACTCCAGAGCTTCTTTGGCACAATGGTTGCTTATTAGATGAACAAAAGTATATTATCTCAGAATTACAAATGGAGCTGATTGTCAATGGCAGGGATTTCCTTTAAAATAC